TCTCCCTCCTGTCCTCTGCAGTACAGCTCGGCTTCTGCCTGCTCAGCGTCCCCTTCCCTAGCTGGCACAATTTCAGCTCTCATCAACTGGGTTCTGCTGGACCGAGACTGCTCGGAGGCCCTGGTGCCTGCAGCTACATCAGGGTCTTCTGCATCTGCCACTCAGCCCCTGGGCGCCAAGGGCTGAGGACCCCGGTGTGCTAGGCTCCACAGACAGCAACACTGTAGGCAGAACACACTTCCCTTCAAGTTCACAGCCAAGGGGAGAGGTACCACTAGAATGTGGGCTCCTCGGGAGAAGAAGTTTTTGTTTTATTTATTAATAACCTCCCAGAGCCTAGAATAGTGCCTGGTGGATAACTGGTGTTTGATAAGGATTTTCTGGAAAGTGAATGATGAGGGTAATCAAGGCACAGAGGAGGAGCTCCTAACCCAGCTGGGGAGGCAGGGAAGCCTTCCTGGAGGTGGTGCTGAGGATGGAGGATGAGTGGCAATAGGCCAGGCAAAGATCTCGTGTGGTGGACAAGGAACTCCTCAAAGAGGGGGTGTAAAGAGTGGAAAGGGGCTGAGAGTGGCCAGGGTTGGCCCTGGAGACACTTAGAGTGCGAAGAGCTTGGAACCAGGCTGAGGAGCAGGGAGTTTGTCCTAAGGATCTAGGGAGCTCTGGAAGGGCTCCGTCGACTGAGACAGGGAGGCTGGATTCTGTGCTGGGAGCCCACTGGCTGCCCCTGCTATTCTCTTCTAGTCTGTACTTTTTTTTTTTTTTTTTAATGTTTATGTATTTTTATAAGACATTCTCTCTCTCTCCTCTCTCTCTCTCAGCAGTTTTAGGCTCACAACAAAATTGAGTGGAAGGTTCAGAGATTTCCCATCTGATATTCCCCTGTCTCTGCATGGCCACTCCCCCTATTAACATCCCCGAGAGAGAGATGTATTTGTTACAACTGATGGACTTACACTGACGTATCATCATCACTCAGAGTCGACAGTTTGCCTTAGGATTCCCTCTTGGGGTCGTATATTCTGTGGGTTTGGACAATTGTACAGTGACGTATGTTCACCTTGTAGTATTTTCCAGAATAGCTTCACTGCCCTGTAAGCCCTGTGCTCCACCTGTTGAGGCCTCCGTCCTCACTAAGCCCTGGCAAGCACTGCTGCTCACTGCCTCCGTAGGTTTGCCTTTTCCAGAATGTCGTATAGTTGGAATGATGCACTATACAGCCTTTTGGAGTTGCTTTCTTTCTCCTAGTAATATACATTTAATTTTCCTCTATGTCTTTTCATAGCTTGATCACATATTTTTCTTAATACCGAATAGTATTCTGTTGTCTAGACTTAGATTTATCTGTTTGCCTACTAAATAATGTCTTGATTGATTCTACACTTTGGAAATTATGAATAAAGTTGCTATAAACATCTGTGTGCAATTTTTTGCAAGAACATAAATTTTCAACTCCTTTGGATAAATACCCAGGAGTGCTGTTGCTGCGTCATAGCATTCACTCTTCCTAAGTGGCTGTACCTAGTCCATACTTTTTGCCCCTCGCTTGCTTCCCTGCCTTCTGAAGCCGTGACCACCTAAGTAGATCACCCCTAAGGGGGCAGGGAGAGCCTCGCCACCAGACTTTGTACAGCAGGCATAGCCAACAAAGCAGTTTTTCCAAATCCAGTCTTGTTTGGTCCTTTCATTTACCAGCGGAAAACCAACACTCATGGGAAGAGAGACTTGGCCAGTGACACAGAGCTAGTAAGCCTTGTGGGCTAAATCCGAGACCCTTGAGTGAGAGACCTCCATTCTTTTTAAC